AACTCGTGGTCGACCGGCGGGTCAAGGGAAGTGACTCGACGTGAGTTGGTTTGATGCGTTACTAACATTAACTTGTATTAACATCTAGCTCACAAAAGTATAAGAGTAGTTCAGTATCATATAAACTTATAACTATTCGTGTTAGTGTCATGTAGCAATAAGGGTCAAAACCCTAAAGCTATCTACGTAGTATTTAAGTGTATTAAAGTCGGTTATGTGGTTGCCAAGGTCAGTTAGCTGGCCGTTAGGGTAGTTAGTTCATCTTTAAGTTAGTAGTCGGCGCGGGGCTGCTAATGGTTGACTGCTTGTGCTATTGCCCTCCGTAATACATCCGGGGTTTCCTTGTAAGTGGCACTCTAGCCCTGTCCTGGACCCACCGACTCGCAACATCATGGGTGCATTTGGTCTCAAACAAGCAATTATGCTGCTGCGAAGGGGTGATCTGAAATTTCTGCAGTGATGACGAGATCCTCGAGCGCGATGAGGATGGTGGTCGGAAATTGGACATTGAGACGACTAACCTTGCCTAGATCTGTTGAGTGGGTTGCTGCAGAACTGGGGAGCAAAAAATTAGAGGGGACCTGACAGGGCTCTCGCCTTTGATGGAGTTTCACGGTAAAATAATTCTTGAATGTCTCTCTCGTAAGCAAAAATAAGCTGCTGTTCACTGCTCTCATCGTCTTCGGAATATAAAGTCACCTTTTGTCGCCGTCGAGCTTAAAGGCGGAGTTCATGATTAGAAGACGGCTCATTAGAATTAAGGTAGAAATGGTCAGTGGTGCCGGGATGAAGAAATATTCAGAACTCAAGAAATGAGGCTCCCTTCATGCTTGTTCATTTCCGCACTGATGCGGCTCTCATCGGTGCTGCCCTCTTCAACGCTAACGCTCTCTCTGCTGAACGGCTAGAGACCTGCGGCGAGTGGTTAGCCAGTCGGTGGGCGTGCCGCGCCGATAGCGCCGGGGGAGGGCCGTGTTAGGCCAGTACCCGACAGGAGGCCCGTCGCGCGGCAAGAAGGCAGAGTCAGCGGACGAGTCGCAGCGCGTACTGTAGTGATTTCGCGTCAAGTTAAATAGAATGTACCATTGCACGTCCTACATCGCACATCACGCTTTTTCGCCGACTCCGTCTTCTTGCCGCTCGACGGGCCTCCTGTCGGGTACCCTTCTAGGCAGCTGTGTGCAGATCCTTCGCTGCAAACTGGGCGTCGTCCGCACCCCAGGGGGTCAGTCTGTCTTTCCACTAAATATTATAAATTTCCCTTCTTTGACCATCGGACCTTACCCGTGTGTGTGAATGTGGGTCAAAACTCTCATTCAGGACGGTTCTGCAAGATTCGCACTCGTACGGTTAAACCCGCTTGCTTGACTAGCGACAGCAAGTTGACTAAAACGTGTGCACAAATCAATCAACACATTATGTGCACAGAGTTTTTGGTTGTGAGATATAAACGTAGACTGTTCATCTCAGTTCATGAACACAGAATTATATATTGGTCAATGTCAGAAAACCTCCCAGTACGAGTGAATGGAGCAGTTTCATGTTGTGGAAACGGTCTTACATGAAACATGTCAAATTATGGCTTATAACAATCTGATATCATCACAACCACTATATAAGCCCAGTGAAAAGTACATGGGGCAATCTTTTCAGCTAAACATCGTGAAGGTGAGGTCGAAGCTTCCTTGGCTTCCTGAAGATCGTGCAGCTGTTCATCCTTTGTTGCAGAATGTCGGCTCGAGGGAAGGTGTCTCAAAGATCGGCGCCCAAACAAAATGTGTCGCAAAGGACGTCATCGCGGTCAGCACCAGCACCACCTTCAGAAAGAAGTAACTTCTTCCGCCTTTTAGTACCCAGTGCAATCACTCAAAGATTAGGGTAAATTCTATGGCCTTCGCAAATGAGACTCGATCCAGGTGCGCCTTCACAACCACCGGGAGCAGCACCAGGATCGGCGCCCAAACAAAATGTGTCGCAAAGGACGTCATCGCGGTCAGCACCAGCACCACCTTCAGAAAGAAGTACGTCTTCCGCCTTTTAGCACCCAGTGCGATCAATCAAAGATTAGGGTAAATTCTATGGCCTTCGCAAATGAGACTCGATCCAGGTGCGCCTTCACAACCACCGGGAGCAGCACCAGGAGAAGAACAGGATACAGCGACAAAAATACTAACCACTATTCAAAATATTTTGACAGTAAGCTATTCATAGATTTCTTGGGAGGGTTTACAGTCCTGCCTTAGTGGGTGCGGGTTTGGACACATTATATATCATATACATTATAGCCTATCCAGGGTTCGGATCTAACCAAGGGAGAAGATGCGCCGTGGGCCAGGAGGACTCAGCCAGCTGCGCGACGTTAGCGAAGCGCGAGTGACGTAGCGCGCCGCCAACGTCGCGGGCTGCATGTGTGTAGCTAGTTGCGGTCAAGAGAAGTCAGTCCCCAATGCTTGCCTTGAACGGTAAGGTAGTGTTGAGAGGGAAGAAAAGAAGAAATGGAGAAAGGCATCACGGACTTAGCGGGAATGCGAGTAGCTGACCGAGATCGCAAGAAAGAAGGAAAGACAAGGCGGAATGACAAAACAAGAGAGTGAGCACATCTATGAGCTAACGAGAGGTGATAGAGGACGATCGAAACTCCTGTGGTCCAGAATGAGCCAGGCTTCTTCAGTAACCATAAGCCAGCGTTCATAATCCGCGATCGTACATGCTATTAAGCGGTCAGGCGATTAGGCGATTAGACTAGGGTCCAAAAAGAAAGGATACGTATCGATTAGGCGATGAGGCGGCAGCTGAGTTGATGATTGGCGCCGCTCAGTGGGCGGAGCGAGCCAATCGATATGCATACAGTCTTACTCGCCTATTCGCCTACTCGCCTACCCACCTAATCGACTAATCAACCAATCGGCACTCCACTTGCCGAAACGTATCCTTTTCCTTGTAGACTATCGCCCAATCACCTAACCGCCTAATCGCATACTATACGACCGCGAACTATCGCTGCGTAAGTGCGAGTAGACATATCGTAGAAACAAACATACTCACAGTTTGAGTAACTTCATATCTCATACAATTTCTCATATACACACTTAGTAGAGCAAATCCAAAGTTGATCTGTTCAGAGTATCGCCAACTTCTTTTATAACCTATACCTTGTGATAAAATTCATTGTGACGAAACCCGATGTTGCTTGGGTGAGATACAAATGAATTTTATAATCTGAAATCTACTTATCAATGTTTTGGTCTCTCTGCTTCCCTTTGCTGGTCCCCTGAAGCCAGTTTATTCAGGAGCTTGTCA